TTCGAAACATTTACCACGAACAACCCAATAATTTATTGTGTTGTTAAGCTTAACAATTACAACACTATATTGTTGATAACGTGCGGAACGGGTGCGAAAGAAGGAAGAATTAAACTAAAGGGTGGTGAAGATATATCCTAAAAGACATAGAATCTGAAAAAAAATATTCGAAAACACCGATAAATTGTGAATTTTAAGACATTTAGAAATGTCATCTAGTCGAAGTTTCAACCCTTTAGTTTAATTCTTCCTTCTTTCGCCGCCTTCGTCTTTCCGCGCCCGCGTACTTACTTGTCAGCGATCACCTATACTTCATGTAGAGTGATAGTATAATGATTCAAGCAGTTTAAAATGTTTACAGAATTTCGAGAGAAGAAATAATCGATGACGATTATCAAGGGATTCAAGTAGGTTTTTAAAAATAAATACAATATTATTTCAATCATAACTCATAGTGGGGCCCCCTGTGGATTTATCTGATATACAAACTCTCAGGGATTTTTACCACGATTTATCTGATATACAAACTCTCTCGATCTTTATCTGATATACAAACTCTCCCGATCTTTATCTGGTATACAAACTCTCAGGGACGCCAGAACTGGGGGGGGGCAGGAGGGGCAGCCGCCCCCGTTGCCTTTAACCAGGAGGGGCAAGGGGGGCCAAGGTGCTCTTTCAATTTAAGGTGGCTCGATATAGTTATCACAAAAACCCTGCTCAAGAATCACGAACTCAAAACAGGGTGACCATTTTTACGCGCAGGTCATGGAAACTGATTAACAAAATTAAAGAACGTCCAAAATGACCTGACGTGAGCGGTTGCTCGCGCCATATCACGCCATTGCGCGTGTTCTATAGCGTTTTATGTCAATTGCTGACGTTATTAGAATTTTCCATTTTAGAAAAACAATGCGCTATATCTGTTTATTTTGTCTGGTGACCTATGTTCAAATTTTGCATGCTGTATTGTACCGCTAAAAACTTTCATTATACAAAAAATAAAAAAATTCTGTAAAGCAAAAAAATTTGACCGAAGAATACGACATTTTCGCATTTTCCAAAAAAATGGCATCACATAATTTTTTATATTTTGCTAATTGTTAGCTTTTCGTCCAAGTAAAATAATGAACGAAAAAAAATTGGGGGTCACCATGCTTTTTTCCAACTATACGAGACGATAGGCCATTTTGGAGTGAATTTCGTACACGTATGTCGTCATAGCAACGAACTACTGTTACTAAAAGTAATATAATTTGAAAGTTGAGATATCAAAATATATAAAAAAAACCCAATATCTGCTGAATAAATCCTAAAAATGCGTAGTTTGAACATGTCAAAGTGTTGAACACCTGAATTTTAGAAAACTGTACGAGCCACCTTGAAGGATTGCCTTGGCGAAATAGCGAATTGTCAGAAATGTTAGGGCGCTTTCCATTTAATGGCCTGACCGGTCAGACTCAAATTGTTTTCTCTGTATCAATGGGAAGATCTGGCCTATGCTTCTCAAATATCTATCGAAAATGGACCTCATTCTAATGTTATCTAAATTTTCCAGTCAGATAGGTCGGAAGCCCAAATGTTTTGTGTTCCATTCAACAATTTGACCGTTTTGACCGGTCTGGCCGTGTTAATGGAAAGCGCCCTTAGTGCAATTCTTTTCAGAAAACGCAAGAAATGCAGTCATCGAGCTTCAAGAATAGCACAATCGCCTGGCGGAGAACCCCCTCACACCCCTATCAAATAAATAGAAAACATGATTATAGGCGAAGTTCAACTCCCAATGTTTTGCAAACATCTCTAATCTTTTAGTATATATCGATTCAAAAGTGCCCTTTCACGAAAATCTGCCCCCTTGCCTTCACATCGTTCCGGCGTCCCTTCAAAACGCATATATCAGATAAAGATCGGCTGCTCATGTTTTAGCTAGTATACATAGACGTTCAACAAGTTCGTCGTAAACAGCAGACAAAAATAGGGACTATAGTATAGCATAGCTGGTAACCTTCAAATTGTTAATTATTCTGTGTACATATATTATACCATTGACCGTTGAACTTTACTTGCTTCTGATTTAATGATATAATAATAATAATAATAATAATTTTTTTGCCATATACACACATACAATTCGAAACAAGAAAGAAATATTAAAATAGATGCAAAAGGAAGGAAATATGATTAATTGTATCGAATGGCAAAGAGACCTCCAGAAATTAACCACCAGGCTTGTACAAGGGAGGTCACACCTCACGATGCGTTTGATTGAATTATTGGATATAGGACTAAAATATAGATGTGCTTAACTTAATAGGTCAGATGATTATTATAATAAATGCTCTAGCATTTATTATAATAATCAACAACGAGGGAGTCACACTATGTTAATATTATCTTTTTGTAATGCATTCCACATGCAGTTTCAACATAAGCTCCACCTTTGAATTTACTATACGAGTAAATTCTTAAACACGTCCGAATTTATCATTATGATAAATTCACACATTTTGAATTTATCAATATAGAGTTAATCATAAAACCACAAGCATTAGACAACACTTCTTGCTATAATTTTCAAGATTTTCAAAAAAATAGTTTTCAGTAAAAAAGTTTTAAAAGAGTTTTAAAAAGCAAAAAAATGTTTAAAAAGTTAGATTTTTAAAAAGGTTAAAAAAAATTAAAAAGTTAGGGTTAGTCAGTGGTCAGGGGTTAGTGGTTTGGGTTGGGGGTTAGGGGTTAGGGGTTGGGGTTAGGGTTAGGTGCCGCGAATTTATTATTATGATAAATTCAAAATGTGCCGCGAATTTATCATAATGATAAATTCGGACGTGTTTAAGAATTTACTCATAGTAAATTCAAAGGTGGAGCTTATGCTGGCAGTTTTGGTCCTGGAAATAGAATAGTGAACTGTTTAATATTCGTTTCGCAAGCGCGAGTTTGATAATCAGGCGCATGTCTTGTGTTATATATACATTTGACTACCTGTAGTGAATATCGTGCGAAAGGAGGAGGGTAAAAATGGTTATGATATAGAAACATAAATTTAGCGGTATAAAATGTATTTATTTGGTAAATATCCATTAAGTTCAACCGCGAAAAGATCGGTTTTGTATATGATATAACATGCGTTTGTAAATGTCCGCACAGCGCGTTTTTGTATCAAAAATAGCCTATTCATGTTACTGGGATAGGTAGAACCCAAGGTAATATTACAATAAGTTAGATAGGGATAGATTATAATATAATACAACATGAACTTTGTATACTGTACTGGTCGACTAACAAAAGCGAGACCGGTAAATTATTCCCACTGATTTAGAGATCTTTTTCATTGAGTTGTTTTAATGCACGCATGCATGCAATACATGTATATGTGACCAAATCTAAACATCATTTATTTTATAGCAGTGTTCTAGGAGTTTAACCGAGAGACTAAAAAGTACTGCTTCATCTCGAATACCTTTACTGTGTTGAAAATAAAGCAGCATACAAGTTATGCCTGTGGTTCTGTTTTTCTTTGCTTTTGAGCAAAAATTCTTAATTTAAGTTTCACATTAGGCAACATTACATAAAATAAAAGAAAAGATTTTTAGAAAGTTCTCAATTTGATGTGGTTTGCCCGAGGAAAAATTTGAGCTTTGAGAAAGTCAAAGGTCCCCCTCCCTTTACTTTTGAGAAAAATTCAAATTTTGATAAGCATATATAATTTGACTTGTAGGCCTAGTTTAAAATCGCTTTGTTGCGAGTGATAATTTTCCTTTTGAGTAAAAATAGTTTTTTTTACATGTTCGAAACAATAATTTTCATAAACGAAAGGATTTTTGGTCTTTACTTTTCGATTTTGTCGTTTTAATTGGGCTAGCATGAAGTATTTCAAAAATGTTGCAAAGTTTCTGAAGTGGAAGGTTTGCAGCCGCGTTGCCAAGTCCTGAAAGCATTTGGGATTTTTTTTAAAAGTTAATCTCGGGATTTTTTTTTTTAATTTTGAAAAAGAAATTTTGATGTCGTTTTTTTTGTAGACTAATAAACAATTTTGCTAAATTAAAAATCCAGGGTTCGTGTGCTCGTATTCAGTATATGTTGTCAGATTTCGTTTTTACAACATGACGTACGAGGCTATCGTACCCGAATTGGTGCGAAAACATCTTAAATTGTAACCGACGTACAAGTGGGAATAGATTTTTTAGGGAATCTCGGGATATTTTGAGACTTGAGAGCTTGCTTGGGATTTTTACAAAATTATAGTTGGCAACACCGATTTGCAGGGAAATAAATTTTTTTGCAATTCAATACTAACAGTACTTTATATTTAGCCCCGAACACGGACACTGTTTGTTTTTTTTGTTTTTTTGTTTAGATTTGAAACACAGGTATTCACATTAAAATATATTACAGAAATGCTTTTTCAATCTTCAATATTTACATAAAATAGTTGTTTTATTATGTATGTTACTGCAGAATTAAAATTATGTTACAAAATTGTATTGCGTGTTACAGAACACACGTTTTATAATATATATTACATGTACAAAAGTGAACTTATTATTTTACAAAAATATATTTTAAATCTATTTCACAAAACTTAATGTATTTTCTACATAATATACAGTTATTACAATAATGATATCACCTCATATACATTACAAAAAATACAATCTCAGTCTATATTACACATTAAATCCCATCAACTACTTGGGGCCCCCATTTATAGAAAATCATAAATAAAAATAAAAAATAAAATTCCTAAATCATGCCTTATTCAATTTTTTCTCAACATCTACTTTTGGAAATCATATTTCGTTAGATATTTGCCGTATAAGGGGTACCCCCAATGTTCGAATTTTTGTCGCCTTAGTGCGATGTATAGTTTATTTTTTAAACGCACGTTTTTATCTCGCATAATTTGTTTACATATTAATCCGCCATATTGTTACTGCACTGCCATATTGTTACGGATTGGTCCGCCATATTGTTGTGTTCCGCAATATTGTTACTGATCAATTCGCCGTATTGCTGCCTCTTAATCACGGCCATACTTAATTCCTAACCGCAGGGACCCCCCAATTTTTCCCTACTATAATAAATGTCACTAACCTTGCAGCAGCTTCTTTCTTTAATAACGTACGTAACTGATGAAGTAATCATACCAGTACTTTAATCCAACAGTATATAGCACATTTGCCCAAGATATCTATCGTGGTATTGCACATTTGCCCAAGATATCCACCGAGGTATTGCACATTTGCCCAAGATATCCACCCAAGGTGTATTGCACGTTTGCCCAAGATATCCACCATTCTTCAACGATGTGGTAAGGTGGGGGTAATTTCATATTTAGTGTCGAAAAAAGGTTTGGGGTCCGATGCTGAGGGGCCTGGTGCGTGGATTTCACGCTTGATGCCTTACCTAAGCTAGTCGAGTTTATCTCACTCGCTCATGCTGGTCTTAAACGAAAACCTATAAAGAGACCTAATGCACTTGCACATACTGAAAATGTGCAATCCTAGCCTAGTGAGATACCCCTTTATACAAGCCACCATTCTGCCACAACAGCAACTTTTATCAGTAGGTTGCAGTTTATAAAGGCTTGAAATATACTTGTGTAATACAACTTTGTACAGTTTTTTAAAAGGTATACACAAATTTATAATTGGCACTCTAGCTATAATAGCCGAGTCCAATATACAGTATATATACAATAGGCTAATAATATGCATAATTAATAAAATTGGTTTTCATTTTGTCGAATTTGCAACTGGCGTAACGTCTGATGCAATTTTACTCATCATTAAGTCGACACGTTGACATTCTTTCATTTTAAATTTAAGTATATCAGTGGAAACAAATGGCTTTCAGAGTGAAACGTTTTGATGGAATATGAAGGATTTACTTTGGTGTAGGAATTTAACTATATTTACTTCTTCATTTAGGCTTCACAACATTTAAAAAAACTTTAAAAAAATATGGTTACCATGCAGTACCGCATATAGTTGTGTTGAAGGCAATCTCATTGGCCCTGTAAATTCTCGAGAAAAACCGTAGGACACATTCATAGGCAGTGAATCTTAGTGATTTTACTAGAAATTTTGAATATCAACAAACTGTGCAGTCGATTTTGAAGGCATAAGCATATAACAAAAGCAACTGCTGCCTTCATGGAAACAGCAATGAAAAAACATGGTAATATGCATTGTCTGTGTTTTATAGAAATGCCCTTATGCCTTTATAGAAACAGCACTCGCAAAAAACCAGAACATAGTAAGACGATGTCACCCTTATAGAAATAACATCAGTTAACAAAAACTGCACAGTCTATTTTTCTTACTAAGACATATAGTGATAGCTAGTAGCTGTCCTATATAAAACAGCACTGACAAAAACATTAGAATATGTCGGTCTTATCGAAATGACATCCTGACAATTAGCTGCACAATATATTTTTCAGCCAAAACCTATCCGTAGTGCAGTAGGTGCCCCATATAGAAACAGAAGTGAAAAAATTAACAAATGTACAGTTCCAAGTGCCATCCTTATATATTAGACATGGCAAGTAATATAAACTGAAAACTGTACTTGTTATTTGTTGGCTAAGGCATATAGCAATAACAAACTGCCCTTTAGATAGAAACAGCAATGAAATAGTGTTTTTAATTGAAAAATAGCTGAATATTTTTTGGGGGGCTAAGGCATATAGCCATAGCTAGCTGCCCTTTATAGAAACAGCACAGAAAATAACATCACAACTTCATTAGATATCCCAAGATACCTGCAACACTTCCAGCCAATCAACACGGACAAATAGTACACTCAAAAAGAGGCGCCTTCTTTTTAAATGTACTGCTTGCTCATGCTGAATGAATGGACGTCTCACAAAGACCTTGGAAAAATAATAAAGTTACAATGCCA